CTTGCCCAAGGTCTTGCAGCTAGTAAGTAGTAAAGCTGGAATTTAAACCTAGGTCTGTCTGATCTCAGAGTTTCAGAGGAGACTGGGTCCTGGGGATGGGGTGGGGTGGGGGGGTGGGGGAATCTGTGCTGTATTTGCAGCTTAACCATGCTACAGTGTATGAGGATATATCTGTGTCTACCAAGAAGGAAACAGGGAGAGCCACTGCTGGTGCATTTTCTCTCTCATTAAATCTTATAAAGAATCTGAAATTCAGAGATTTAAAGTTATTTTACCAAGGTCACAGCCAGTGTCATAATGCAGCGCTACGTTTTAAATCCAGGCTTCTCTTGCTGCAGACTTGTGCTACATGGCAGAGGGAGTATGCAAAATTTTCAGAGGTTCCTGGCTGACTAGACCAGGGGATTCCTCACTCAGAGAGGAAATGCTGCCGGGAACCAAGCAAACCTTCTTTCTGCATTGCCTTTTCCACCTGTTACCACTTTTCGAGGTTCCATCGTTGTGCAGGCCCCCGTTTCTCTGCCTTTTCAGGCCTTACCTTGAACCCAATGCCTCATACCGCCTCCCTGATCATTTTCAGCCGCAGCAGTGGCTACAAACCACAGGAAAGTAAAAACTGCATTTTGTACAGCTCTGCTTCTAGCACACTGTTGGGCATGCTCAGTGATAAGGGGAAGCTTTGATTATAAATAGGAAGCTTTTGTTAAACACCTTTCCATTTTGGAGTATTATTTCATATCAGGATCAGAGTGTAGTAGGCCTTTGCAGAGATTCCTAGACTACACCAATCAGGTCTGTAAGAATGAGATGCTTAGATATGGAAAAATATCTCAATCCCTTGAAATCTCTACTCTATCTCCAATATTCGTCTCCCTGTTCTGTCCTCTCTGTAGGTGCACACAAAGAGCATCCACAAATTGTATCCATTCTATTTACATACCTCATAGCTATAGACATATGCATCCTGCTACAAATACATACCAGCCCTTGACTGTGAATTTGTCTCTTGCAATTGTTTGACTATTAACTTGCTCTACACTGAAATATTATGAATAAAATGGGGTTGCTAAGAAAAGATTTAACTATTAACCTCTCTTTCCTTCCCTCTCAGAATAAATTTACTCCCTAGAGAATGCCTCAGAAAGCAGAAAGTTCCCCAGAATTTTTGATAACCCCTTCCTGTGTATTTGTTAGGTTGATTTATGTCATAAGGCCAGCAGAATCTTTAATTTTTGATAAGAATAACCCCTTAAGAAAGCCCTGAAGGGCAACCTTCAAGGAAAACTTTGCTGAAAACTTGAAGCATTAGTCAATATTCTACTGTGGTGTCTGGGACATGAACTTTTAAGCTTTTTGAGAAGTCACCTAACACTTTCTAATGCTGAGTACTTTACCACAGATCATCAAAGTTATTCCTCATAGCAACTCTCTGAGGCAGGTACAGTAACGATATTCATTTTATGGATGAGAAAATAGAGGCTTTGAAAGAGCGAAGTCATACAACAAGTAAATAACCAAGCTGGAATGCAAGTCCAGGTCTGTCTGATGCCAAAATCTGTATGGTAAACTCTACATCGTATCACCTTTAATTACTGGTATCCCTTTGCACGTGGAGGCAAATGTGGAGAGGGGTTTCTCTCCATGTGTGATGGCTTCCTTGTACTTGGTGTGCACAGTACTTCAAGTATAGTAATATCACTATTTTCTGATACCACTTAAACTTCAGTTTCTCTAAAGGAGCATTATTTAGTTTATTCAGCAAATTAGACAACTGGTGTACACAGAACTTGGTGGGCAGGACCAATTAAAACAAGTATCACTGGAGCAAAGGCTTCTGCGTCGCTATTGATGAGCCTTTATTCCCTTAGCTTTTAAATAGCATTGTGCTGTAGTTGTCAACCATCTCCCAGGTCATTCACTCTCAACAGACATTCTCGTCAATTTTCTAGAATCCTTTACAGAGTACATATACTGGAAGATTTTTCACTTTCATAAGGATGGGAAATTTAGAAGTAAAGTCAGGGTTTATGGTTTTTTTTGCTTTTCTTTTTTTAATCACTGCAATTCTCCATGTTTGTTTCCAATGTCTTAAACATCCTTTAGAAGATTTAGTAGATGCTACAATTTCCTGCTTTTAAGAGAGGTCAGGGAAGACCCTTTAGAATGTGATCCTAACCAGCCAGATTAATCTGGTGCCACATAGTTCATCAACGTGCCTGCATTTGCATAGGGTACCTTGTATAGAAAAGGATAAGCAATGAGGGTGTTGGTTCCGTAACTTAAGGATAGAAGTCTTGCATGGTATTTTGCACAGTAATCATTCATCTTTTTGAGAAATCGGTCAGGTAAAACCAATGATGTCTGAGAAGCTCACACAGATGTAATAGATGTAATTCTGAAAATCCTTCATACAATTGCTCAGAGCCTACTAACTTTAATTTTATGCAATATTCTAATAGGTCTGAGTTTACAAGCCCATAGGGAATTAGAAAACAGGAAGTAAACTGTTATTGTTAGAAAATTAATAATAGCAAGAAATGGAAACTGATAACCAGGAAATAAAGAAAGAGATTAAATTTTCTATAAAATATTTTTTGAAAGGCTTAATTTACTGTGTAGGTAAGCCTCCTAATACTGCATTTCAATAGACTGTCTGGATATCTTCCGACTACAATATTGTAGAACAGCAAATGTTGTTAATGATATTGTCTTTGAAACCATGCTTCAATTCCTACATAATGCCAGAAAAATAACGCCTGGATTCCTCAGCCTATCATATAAGGCTTTCCAAGTTGTGGCCCAGGAGTGGCATGTGCTTTTCTG